GAGCTCGTCAAGGCGTGGGGCCTGCTAGATCCTGAGCGCGCGCGAAGCGCACGCGATGGTTCCAGTATAGACGTATATGTATATGTATATGTAGATGTATATGTATATGTATATGTATATGTATTTGTATATGTGCAGACAAATGTACATGCCCATGCATATGTGTATGCATATGTGCTTACATATGCATATGTTCATATTCGTGTATCTTTATAGGTACACGAATATGCAGATGTTTATATGCATGTCTGTAGATATACATATATATACACATTTATGTGCATAAATGTAAGCATGTAAGTGAGTATGTCTGTATGTATTTGTGCGCATGTATGAGTGAACGTATGCATACATGTGTGTATGTATGTATGCCTATGTGCATGCATGTATGTATGTCTGTATGTGTGTATGCATGCGTGAGTATGGATGTGTGGGATGGATGGATGTCAGTGTGTCTGTCTGTCTGTCTCCCTGTATGTAAGTTTGTATGCATGCATGTATGTGTGTGTGTTTCGACGTCTGCCTGCATGTATGTAAGTAGGTATGTATGTATGTGCATGTGTGTATGTTTGTATGTGTGTATGTTAGCATGCATGTTTGTATGTATGCATGTGTTTATGCATGTCTGTCTGCATGTATGTATGGGTTTATATATAGGGATGTCTGTATGCATGTCTGTCTGTCTGCCTGTATGTATGCATGCATGCATGCATGCATATCTGTATGCGAGATACGTAAGTAAGCATGGGTATACGTCTGTAGTATAACGTGCATGCATGCAGGTACTCGTGTATGTATGCATGTGTGTGTTTGTATATATGATTGTGTGCGCACGTGCAGTGCAAACGAATGCACATATCAGGATACCGGAGTCGAACACTGTGGGAGCCAGACGCATCTTTTCGCAGAACTCCGTCACCATCGCGATGTAACTGGCATGGCACTTGGGACTCCCAAGGAGGAGCCGCCAGGGGATGTTCGACGGGCCCGTTTGCGTTCAGGTTGGTGGAATCTGACAGGTAGAATTGTTCTTGTGGAGTTCTGCAGGGTTTCTCTGGGCTGCGGCCTCACGCGCCTTGCCCAAACGGGAACAGGCACGCGCGCTTCGCCGCATGAGCCTGCACCGGTGCCTCGCTTGCTCGCTCTATCGCTCGTCTCTTATTCCAGAACCGTTTGATCATCGCGATGTAGCACGCGTGGCTGTTGGGCCCCCACGGAGGAGGCACCAGAGGGTAGTGCACGGACCCTTGCACGCCTGGATTGTCGGAAGCTGTGGAGTAGAACGCCCAACACGGAGGTGGACGTGTTCCTCGTCAGACCCCGATAGTCACCGCGACGTAGCAGGCATCGTACCTCAGCCTCCCACGGGAGAGCTGCCAGGGTGTCTGAGAAGAGCTCATTCGCGCCCAGATTGTCGAGACCTCCCCTGCCCCCAAGATCAATGCACTCATTCCCAGACTTACTCATACTCCGATCCATGCACATTCAAGCCCAGACTCGCTCATCTTCAGTCGCACATGCTCAGGCTCACTCGCACCCACACCAATTTACAGGCCCGCATACGCAGACGCAGTGGCAGTCATATTCATTGTAACCCTTCCCCGCTCGTAAGCATTCCCAATCATACAGACACGCTTCATACCAGCCGCTCATTTTCAAATCCACTTTCACTGCCACTCACTCTCTCCCAGACTCATCCATCTTCAGTTCCCGCTCATACTCAGATTTGTTCATCGTCATCCTCGCTCATTGCCAGCCACTTGTGCTCAGGCTCAATCCCGCCCAGGGCCAATCATATTCAGCTACTCGTAGTCTGACTCGCTCACGCCCACATTTACTTACACTCAGACGTTTAGAGAAGAACGAGCTATGACATATATGCACGTGTAAGTTCCCGCGTTGGACAATCTCAATACGCGGTCCCCCGAGCTCTCAACCCCCTCTGGCGGGCAGTTGTTTCGTCCCCGACGCCCGAACACGGCCCCCAGACGCCAAACATGGATAATCAGTTTCGTTTGGATGGTGCAGAAAGGCGGAGGCCTGGTCGTCTGGTTGCCTCGGCGGGCCTAAAGGTACACTTGCCCGAGGCTCCTGGGGTTCTCCCCAGGACCAACTGCTCATCCTGAGTTGCTCTTTGCAGAGCTTGGGGCCCTTCGAGTGCTTCCAGGGCTCCGACAACGTGGAAGAAAATACAGGAGCCCTTTCCTCCAGGAACCGTTTCCGTCGTGCCAATTTGGGGGCTCGCGGGAGGAGGAGGAGGAGAAATAGGAAGAGGAGGAAGACGCTACGAGCTTTAACGAACCTGAAAGCATGCCTAAGACAAGAGGAGTATGCGGAGGAGGAGGAGGTACAGCCAAGACGCTGAACAACAATGACCACTTTGAGTTCAGGAACGCCCCTGGTGTTGGGGTTGTTCCTTAGACCTTGGTCGGGGAACCTATTCGTGGGCGAGGCTCGGAGGACGAGGAGGTAGTGTGACTCCTTTTGGTCTCTTCAGCAGGGCACCGACTTCAGCGAGTTCGAGATGAAGGAGGCCTGACGCCTGCGCGCCAAGCCCGAGTGGGCGCCGCCCCACTGACGCCCTCCACTGGATCAAACACCTTCAGAATGGAGGACCGGCTTCCACTCTGAAGGTTTTTGTTTCTTCCGTCCTGGAGAAATTCAGAAAGCGTCTAGAGCGGAGGGAACGAATACCTCAGGAATGAAGGCCGAGTCCTCCTTTTGGAGCCCTTCGATCCTCCTGCGCTGGGCGGCCGAGTCCAGACCAGAGGATTTCGGACTTTGGAGGCCGAGCCCTTACGAGAGCGTTTTTCATTCCCGAGCGATAGCGGGCATTGCGGGGGGTGGGGTCGGGGGGCGCCGGCGCGGTCTGGCAATGCTAAGGAACAGCCAACGACGGCTTGGATAGCAGATGCCTATAAGGATCTGCTACGGCAAAGCGCGCATACCCATAGGGATCTGCTACGGCAGAACGCTTCCCTTCTCCGTCTCCTCCAAGTCCTTCTCGTCACCCTCCTCGTCGTCCTCGGCGGCGTCGTCGTCGGCGTCGAATACTCATTTCTAAAGAATAATTATTGCAGATCTCCGGAAACGGTTCCGCGCGCTCTCGCCTCGACGCAGGCTACATTTTCTCTGAAAGCGAGGCTCCCGCTCGAGCGTTGGCTTGAGCCTAAATGTGAGTCCCTGGAGGCCCAGCTACGACAACAACGGCTCCCGCTCGATATTTCCTCACAATTTACCCCCAGACACCCTGGCCAGAGAGGCCCCCGAACTCAGGAACGGCGCTCTCGCTAGAGACTTCCTCGCAATTCAATTGGCGGAGGCCCAGTCACGACGACAAGGATTCCTGCTCGATGCTTCCTCACGATTTGCTCCGAGAGCCCCTGGCCAAGAAGGCCCCCGACCTCAGGAACGGCGATCTCGCTCGAGACTTTTCAGGCAAGTTGATGGAGGCCTGGACACGGCGACAAGGGCTCCCGTTCGATATTTGTCCATATGTATTCCGAGAGCCCCTGGCCAGAGAGGCCTCCGAATTCAGGAGCGGCGCTCTCGCTCGAGAATTCTTCGCACTTCAGTCAGTGGCCGACAAGGAAGATATTCCCCCCGAAAGGGGGTGCAATCGAAGACGAAGTGTGCGGGTATCGAGGGTTGGGGTACCTATACGGAATGCAAGTCACGCGTACCAGTAAGAGCGAACAGTCTTAAAATGATCGTCGTCGTTGTCGTCGTCGGCGTCGTCGTCGTCGTCGGCGTCGTCGGCGTCGTTGTCGTCGTCGTCGTAGCGTTCCTCCTCGCGTCTTCCTCGTCTTCTTCATCGTATTGCAAGGTGTTTCACGCAAAGGCAGACCAAGGGGGGGAGGGAGTTTGGAGGAGGGATGGATGAGCACGAATCGTAAAAATAAGTGGAAGCAAACAGGTCGTTTCGGCCTGGCCTTGCCTGCCTCGCCCCCTCGCTCCTCCCAACTCCCACCCCCCTTCTTTTGTCCGTGCGTGAAGCACCTTGCAACCCAATACAGAAGACGAGAACGACGAGAGGAGGAACGCTACGACGACGAGGACGACAGGACGAAGAGGAGGAGGAGGAGGAGGAGGAGGAGGAAAAGGAGGATAATGAGAAGGGAGACGCTCTGCAGTAGCAGATCCCGATAGGTATGCGCGCCCTGCCGTAGCAGATCCCTGAAGGTATCTGATATCCGAGCCGTCTGTGGCTAGTCCTACGCATTCGCAGACGGCCCCGGCGCGAAACGTGACGTTACCAGGGGGTGTTTGGGGGGGGGGGCTATCACGAAAAGTAAGGAAACGCTGTCCATTTTGGAGGCTTTCGTGTCGCCGCCCCTGGCCGGCGACTCGTCGCCCAGGGACGCCCCCCCCCCGCCCCCGCCTCTTCCCCCCTCGCTCGCGGCCGTCGGAGGGGCTCGACATGTAACCATGGGCTCCTGGAGGGAGGGGGTCCTTGTGATTCTTCGCCTTCTCTCGGGCTCCTCGGGAGCCTCAGAGGAGAGCCCCAGGGTCTACAGTCGAGTTTGGTTAGCAGGTCGACCTTTGTGCAAATCCATTGCGCCCTTGTGCCGCTGCATTCCTGGGGCAACGTGGCCCTTGGAGGGGTCTTGTGTCCTCTCGCGTGTCCTCTCCAATCAAGCTCGACTGCAGGACCCGTTTCTGTCCAGGCGCGCCGACGCGTCCAGGAGGAGGGAGCCCACTCCCAGGCCTCCGACATCGTCCCCGAGAACATCAAGGCGAAGGTTCTTGGCTGTCTTCGGCCTCCGCGGGCCGTTTTCGGGCTCCAGGGCCACCAGAACACGATCTGGGACGGGAGACGCGGGCCACGGGAAGTGGCTGGGAGCTTGGGGGGCTGAGTTTGGTCGGCCAAGAGTCAAGGCGCTCGGCGAAGGACTTCGGTGTACAGGCACTCCAGCGTCCCACATCTTCGGACGCTGAGGCGTCCACACACGAGTGTCTTGGCCGACCAGACGGCTTAGCGCACATTTCGAGCCTCTCCTGGGCCAAGACACTCTCTCGGCATGAGAGGGGTCCTCAGGGGAACGGGTCTGACGCAAATGCATCGGGCTTCGAGGTTCGAAGATCGAGGTTTTTGTATGTCATTTTCGTCGCCGCGGCCACCCTTCCCCGCGAAAGTTTTGACAAAACGCACTCCAAGAGAGGTTTGGGGGCCGGTTAGTCGGGGTTACCATGAGGAAAAAGAGTTCCTGAGGGAACGTCTCCTGAGGTCATTCGTCGCTGTCGGCCCCCTTCAAGGATGCCCTCGATCGGTTTCGGTTTATTGCTGTATTTGATTTTCAACTGCGCCAGTAATGATTGCATACCGCTTCCGACGTGACCGCAGGATGCTTCCTGACGATCGCCCAAGCTCCTCCAAAGCCCAGAATCGCTCACGGTAGCACCCGTGGTCATGCGCATTGTGTACATGCACCGCGAGATTGACTTCATCGTCAGCCAGGGCCTGGTCGACGGTGCGTGATGAACGCTTCATCACTGGCAAACAATGTCAAACAGAACATGCACTGGCGAGTAAGTCGCATTCCTGGCCAAATCATACATGCTATCAACCAAGCTACGTGCGAAAAGCCCCGCCCCCCATCGCTGCCTTGTCGGCCGAGGCGGCTAGAGGATAGTCTCCTCGACGTCGTACGGAAGTATATATATTATCCGTGATGCGATCGACTCATAGAGCCAGTAACATCAATGATGGTATTCTGAGACATCTGTCCTCGAGCCGAGCCGCCCTTTCCAACAATTGAGCTGCTCTACCCCAGAACTGGGCCGTTCTACCATACACCGCCGAGCGCCTCTGCCCCAGGGATCGTACCTTCCGTTTTCGATCATATGAGGTAGTCGCCCATCTTTTCCCCGGAAGACCGCCTTGAACCACTGGAGACTGTTCAAGACCGCCACAGGCCGCTGGAGACCGACGAGGGCCGATGGGTAAACAACAGGGGGCCCCGTGGTCAAACGCGTACGCTCCGCGTGGCCACGATCTATTCAACGAATGACTTGTAAGCAGAACGTTGGATATACATTGTGTGCGTATGTATGTACGTATGCGTGTGTAGATATGTGTATATATGTGTATGTATACACATGTGTATATGTATACATGTGTGTGCAGCTCGTATATACATATATGTATATATGTGTATATACATATGTACATGTATAGCCATTTTGGCTCAAGGGGCTCAAGCCCTCAAGGGTCTCAATATGGCTCAAGGGGCTCAAGCCCTCGGCTCTACGACAGCAAAAAGGCGGCGCCGTCCCTGGCGCGCTTCGCTCGCCATCCTTCCGCTCCTCCCGCCCTCCCTCACCCTGTGCCAGTGCTGCCGCCATGGCCCGACGCTACGCCAGATGCTTCGAGGCAGGCATGGACGCCCCAGCTCTTCCAGGGGTCCCCCTCTGCGCCGCGCATGCTGCAGTCGCAGCCGGCGCAGCTGCTCCCTCTGGCGCAGCTGGCGCCGCGCCGGCGGGCGGGACAGTGCTCCTGCTGGCGCAGGCACTCGAGGCGGCCGCGGTCCCGCGGGCTGCCCAGCCGGCTGCCACGGCGCCTGGCGCACCGGCTGCCGGCGCCGATGCGATGGAGAGGGGACCTCGGGCATGGACATCGAGGTTGAGATTTCCTGCGCCATGCAGGCCATGGCGGCCTTGCAGGTGGGCGCTGCCACCGCAGCGCCGTCGTCCCAGCAAAATGTGCCCATCTCCCCGGAGTCACTCTCTGAGTTGATCGATTCGGAGTCTTTGAAACATTTCGAGCTGATTCACGCTCACAGGGACGCCAATCCTGAGGACGGGCGGACCGACATAATCTTCCCGACGGAGTGGGCCACTCTCTGGACTATCCTGAGTAAGCTCGCGTACGACGTGGATGCGTCCGACCCGTGGCAGGTGCTAGGATTCGGCCCGCTGAGCGGCCCTGAGTCTACAGAGCTCGTCATCTCGTCCTGGGCCCGCGTCGCCAAGCTGCTCTGTTCGCTGAGGAATGACGCAGCCTGGGGGGCTAATGACCAGGACTTTGCACGCCACTCGGCTAAGATCGACTGGGCGGCCAACCAGTGAAGAGCTCCTCCCAGCGGTGCGCCGATCCCGGCGGCAATTTCGCCCTGACCGCCTGCCACGCTGGCAGGAATTGGGTTCCGATGCAATGCGCGCGATTCACAGCAGTCCTGGTGGGGACCATGCTGTGTTCATCACGCAGTGGTCGCAGGTGCTGGACCCGCTGGGCGGCCACGGCGCCACGATCTCTCAGCATCGCCGTGTGGCAGACCTGATGGGGAAAGGCGACGAGAAGGTATTGGAGGAGCTCAGGGGCCAGAACAGAAGCTGTTGCCAACGCTCCGCTGAACTTCTCTTTGCCAAGGGCATTGTATCCTGTGCTCTCCCTCGGTAAGCCATCTTGCAAGGTCGACGCGGAAGGAGGTCCCCCCACCACGACCTTCTCTCATACCCACGTTAAGCCTAGCGAGCTTGATGAAAATAAGGTCTTAGGAGTGCCCGAGTGCGAGTCTTTTCTCTCGGGAGCGCGCAGCTGCGCGCGGAGCTCTGCCAGCTTGAACGCGTCGCTATACAAGGCCAGCAGCGT